TGAGGATTTGCTTTCTCAACTGGAAAATGGACCTTTGGAGACCATTTTCAAGCCAATGAGCCACTGGTTATTTTATTGAGAAATGTATAATTGCAGTAAAAAAAAATCTATGTGATTTATAATTGTTAAAAATAACATAAAACCTTGCATAGTCTTTACTTTTCCTAAATATTTTACTAATACATAAATCCCTAGTAATTTCTGTTTTTATGTAGAACATTCATACACAAAGTCAGATGTTCAAAAGTCAAATATGTCTTGTGTTAGCTTTGATTTTTTTAGTTGTTAATGTCTTAATAAACCCCCAGTAAACTGATAAAAAGTACAGAAATGTCCCTATCAAACTCTGTATCAGATTATATCAGAGTTGGAAAGTGACAGAAATTGTTTAGACTAAAGACTTTTCACAACAAAGACAATTTGACACAAGGTCTTGAACCTTTGGAAACTAACCATTAAAGAAAATGTTAAGGCAACACAGCTTATTTTAACTGCAGATCTAACTTGGTGCACACATATACACTAAAGTGAAATGGCTATGAATATGTATAGAATTTCTCTGTGTTAGGACTGTAGATCACAATTTATTAAAATTTAAATTTGCTCCTGGAAATTCAAGGTTTTAAAATTTGTAGAGAAATATTCTTTTGTATTATAAACATTTTGGTTCAGTTATTCTGTTTTACAATGATATAATTAGAATCATGAAACTGAATTATCTTCTTGGGAAACTTCTCTAGCATCTTAGGAACGTTAAATGCTCTATGACAGGGAAGCTCCGTTACCAGTAGATGGCAGCAGTGGAGTATATTATTCACTCTAAATTGCATTTAAAGGATAAATCCAACAGCTTCACTTTGGAAAAATTGAGATTCTTTGAGAGTGCTTTCTATGAAATTTAATTCTCTGTCTCATCTTTATTTTATTAAAAAGTTCTTTCTGTTTTTCTCTAAAGTGTTTTATGAACAAAGTTAGGTTAATTTAGGAAGGAAAGTATGTGTACTGGTGAGCAGTATGTTGGGAGATTAAAATTAATCTATGTGTATGAATGAAACATTTCTACATATTTAAGGACTTGGTTCATTTGATTGTGACTTAAATTCAAATATACAACTCAACATCTACACGTAGTACATGAAGTTCATTCTTTGTTAATTTACGTGGAGGCCAAACCTGATAATAATGGTCTGATACATTACATTTTATTGTATCAATTGCGATTCCCTCATTAGCCTTTTTACTTTTTATCTCCAATAGAACACAAGTAACAACTATTAACAGTAACTAAGGAAACATGCATCCAAAGTCAAATAAAGTTCCAAATAAAATTGAAAATGACCAATGACTAAATTGATAGCATACTTATAGCAACTTTGAAGCCATCTTTATATTTCCTTTTCCTCAATTTATTTTATAGCAAACAAATTTAAACATACACACAGTATATTTTTCCTAATTTTACATCCAAATCCCCATACTTTCTTTGATTTTAATTTAATTAGTTGGTAATTGGGATATCTTTTCTGAGAGTTTAGGGGAGCTGTAAGAATGAGATAATCTCAGCCTACAAATTAGATGCAATTTTATGACAGATTAAATACCTTGACAGTATTTCAAAGATAGGTGTCATTTTTCTCTACACTGAATTATATTACTATTCATACACTTGCAGGGTACCGAATCTCCAGAGAAAACATAGATAATATATCTAACGTGGGATTTTAATAACACATGTATTTACTCAAGCATTCTAAAAATACGATGGGTGAAATTTTTTATTCAGGAGCTATTATTTACCCTGCTTCATTTTAGAGAGAGAAAAAAACAACAGATCATTGCGAATCTCAACAATTATCTTGATAGGCTCAATGGTGGAAAATACCTGGTTGACATGATCCAGTTTGGGGCAAGGCCTTCCTCCATTATACGGTTTTTCCCGCAGCCATTTAGAGCGAACCTTCACGCCGCTCCCACAGGACTTACTGCAGCGCGACCAGTTGGACCACTCGCTGAGCTTGCAGTCTGAGGGGCAGGGGATGATGCAGGCCTCTTCAATGTAACCTGCGTGCAGGAAAACGAGACAAGAACCATCTCTCCCACCTGTCACTCTCGTACTGCCACCCACCATTCTAGCTCATTTAGAGGTTCCAAGTCTGATTTGACAGCAGCATGCAAATGCAGAGGTGTCCCCGTTGTTAGGGACTCAAATTAAGTTCTGCGAGAAAATGACACATACATATGACGACTCTGTTAAAATAACAGCTGAGCAGCTGCCATATGATCTGCTTAGGATTCATGCTCACCATATTTAAACATTTCTGACTTTCTGACAGCTTCTGTTTAATTGACAATAACCTGTCTGCTACCATATCATTCTCATGCTGCCAGAATGATATATTAAAAAAATTATA